GTTGAGATTCCACCTCATCCCAGAAAAAATGGCTGCTATTATGAAATCAACCAATAACAAATGTTGGCAGGGCTGTGGGGAAAAAGGAACCCTGCTGGTGGGAGTGTAGACTGGTGCAACCAGTATGGAAATCAGTATGGGGATACCTCAAAGAACTAGGACTAGAAGTCCCATTTGACCCAGCTATTCCCCTGCTGGGTATCTTCCCAAAAGAATTAAAAGGAATCATACCACAGTGATATATGTGCATCCATGTTCATAGTAGCAGAATTTGTAATAGCTTGGAAGCAGCCCAACTGCCCATCAACTAGAGGCTGGATAAAGAAAATGTGGGCTTTTTTATAAAATGGAGTACTACTCAGCCATAAAAAATTAGAAATTAGACATTTATAGCTAAAGAGATGCACACTGAGGTGATACTCTTAAGTGAAATAAATAGGACACACGTGTAAATACCAAATAGTTTCTCGAGTGTGAGAAACTGAAAGTGTAAATAAGGACTAAAAGGTATAATAGATAATGTGAAATAGGAAGAATGGGGCAAAGGGGAAGGGGAAGTGGGAGGGTAGGGGAAAGGAAAGAAGGAGATGGAATTAATATGAGAAAATGAAAAAAATGGAAACAATTTTTGTAAATAGAGAGGGATGGAGGGGTTGAAGGGAGGGCAGGGGAAGGGGGAAAGAACCAAGAGAGATTATGTTAAGGTGCAAATTTCCAATGATGAGTGTCATTATATTGTATAACTAAATGTAACAATAAAATAAAATTTAAAAAAACAACAACAAAGGTCTGAAGATGTAGCTCAATGCAAAGGCCCTGGGTTCAACCCCTAGTACAGAAAGAGAGAGAGACAGAGAGACAGACAGACAGAGATAGATAAAGAGGGAAAGAAAAAGGGGAGAAGAAATATATACAAATAATCATACAGATAAGCTTATCTCTACAGAAATGTTAGACATTATGTTTGACCCACCACGTGCTACACACTCAAGAGCTAGATGCACTATAGTACAAGTGGTATCTTCAGAGATGAGGGTCCACAGGGGTATTTTTTAAAAAGCCATAATTTAAAAACCACGATGTCACCAACAGCAATGACTAAAGCTTGGGAACACTTTCTGGTGTCGAGCATTTTACATGAACTGTACTGGCTCCTACAGCCACATGGGACAGTAAGACAGGCACAGGTTCTCATTTGAGGATGAGCTGTGTCACAGACACTGAATAGATTCTGCTCAGGTAAATGAGCTAAAGAGAAAGGAAGTACTTCCCCCAGGTTTCTAAGCACTGGAATTGAACCTAATGAATCAGTGAGGTAACAGCATCCAAAGTAAATCGGCAATAGATGACCAAGAAGAAAAGCTTAAGCAAGTTAAAGGGCAATACAGACCTCTGAACAAAGTCATTATATATCTACACATGCAAGCACATGATGCATAGTATTCTTACTATAGTAGTGTCAACTCATTAACATGATAGTGTACAGGAAATTTAAGGCTGCAGAAAATAAGAGAAAAGTTTAACTAGCAAAAACATAAAAGCTGTCCTTTATTAAAAAACATGTGCTTCATTGAGGCGATACTCTTAAGTGAAATAAATAGGACACACATGTATAAATACCGAATAGTTTCTCTGGTGTGAGAAACTGAAAGTGTAAATAAGGACTAAAAGGTATAATAGATAATGTGAAATAGGAAGAATAGGGGCAAAGGGGAAGGAAGTGGGAGGGCTAGGGGAAAGGAAAAAAGGGAATGGAATTAATATGAGAAAATGGAAAAATAGGAACAAAATCTTTGCAAATAGGGAGGAATGGAGGGGTTGAAGGGAGGTCTGGGCAAAGGTGAAAAATAAGAACCAAGAGAGGCTATGTAAAGGTGCAAATTTCCAACGATGTCATTATATTGTATACCTAAAATGGACCGATGATTAGAATGAATAATCGATAATGCAAAATAGGAAGAAAAGGTCCAAAGGAGTAGTAGGGGTAGTGGGAGGGGCAGGGGAAAGGAAAGAAGGGAAAGGAAAAATGATGAGAAATGGAAATAAAGTCTTTGTAAATAGGAAGGGTGGAGCGGGTGAAGGGAGGGCTAGGAATGGGGAAAAAATAAGAACCATGATGCATCATGTAAAGGTACAAGTTCCCAGTGAAAAATATAATTGTGTCGTATACCTAAAATGTACCAATAAAAGAATTAAAAAAAAAAAAACATGTGCTGGACGGGCATGGTGGCACACACCATAATTCTGTACTTTTGAGTATAAATCCAGCCTGGAGTACATAGGAAGACCCTATCTAACATACAAACAAATGACAACAACAAAAAACAAAACAAAGAAACAAAGCCAAGCATGGCTGACTGCAAATTCAAGTTCAGCCTGGGCAAGTGAGTGACTCAGAGAGCCCGTTTCAAAATTTAAAAAAGGACTAGGAATATAGCTCAGTGTGAAGGCCCTGGCTTCAATCCCCAATACTACTTTAAAAAATGCACATCTGAGCCAGGCATGGTGGCACATGCTTGCAATCCCAGGACTCGGGAGGCTGAGGCAGGAGGATCACCATGAGTTCAAGGCCAGCCTGGAATCAAAGACATATAAACTAGCAAAGAAATAAAAATGAGAGTTTCAATCATGCCATACTGAATGATTAAGAGATCAAACATACAACTTTAGGAAATCAGAAAAACAATGAACAAAATGAGAATATTAACAAACAAAGAAAATATGAGGAAAAACTACAAAGAAATTCTAGAACTAAAAAATAAAATGACTAAAATTAAACTCAAGAGGTTGAAAAGCAGACCTGACCAGGCAGAAGAAGAAAAGGAGTGGATTTAAAAAAGGAGGCCAAGCATGGTGGCACACTCAGCACTCAGGAGGCCAAGGCAGAACTCCACAAGTTTGAGGCCAGCCTGAGCTACTTACTGATCCAAAGCCAGCCTTAACCACATGATGACACCCTGTCTCAAAGAAGGGCGAAAGAGTGAAGATGGCCTAACCGCCTTAGGGGATAACATCATGTGCATCTCAGAGGAAGATCTGACCATGATGGCCCAAAATATTTCAAGTTTGAAAGACACAGACATAACTTCAAGAAGCTTAACGAAATCCAGGAAGGATAAATGTGATAGATCTATACCAAAAAACATCATAATTAAACCATCAAAAGTAAGAGACATGGGCTGGAGATAAATCTAAGTGGTACAGGGCTTGCCTAGCATGTGTAAGGCCCTAAGTTCCGTGTGGAGCACTTAAGGGTTGGGGATGGAAATCTTGAGGGTATCAACAGAAAGATGACATTGTACAGCAGCAAGCTCTGAATGTCAAATTCTCAGCAGAACCCTCATGGGATACAAAAAAACTGTATATGTTCAAAATTGCTATAAGAAAAACATCACCAATTAAAAACACTGCATCCAGCAAAATTGTCAGCAAAGACTGAGGAGAAATTGAGAGCCCTGTAGGTAAAAGTGGAGGGAATTCATCATGATACCTGCCCGGCAGGAATTGCTGGAAAGAGACCTTCAAGTTGAAATGAAAGGGTGATAAATGGAGAAAGAAAAGCATATAAAAATACATAGATCACTTTTAACTCTGGCAGAGATCTTCCTAAAAGTATAAAAAAGAGTTATAACTCTATATTAAGGGATATACAATATAGAAAGAGGTAATGTTGTTACAAATAACATAACAAACACTAAAACATTACATCCAGCCAGGTGGGGTGGCGCACACCTGCAATCCCAGTGCTCTGGGAAGCTGAGGCAGGAGGATCAAAAGTTTACACTCAGCCTAGGCAATTTAGTGACTTACCAAGATCCTTTCTCAAAAAATAAAATTATATTACATTTAAAAACTAAAAAGTAAAAAGAAGTAAAACACGAAATCGCAAAGAAACAGTACTTTTCAACTGTGTACTACGGGAAGCTCCACATGAAGAAATAAGCTAACAGCTGGGCGCAGTGGAGCAGTGGAGCATACCTACAATCCGAGCTACTTGGGAGGCTGAGACAGGAGTGCCACAGGTGAGAGGCCAGCCTGGGCAACTCAGACCCTGACTTAAAATCAAAAAACGTACAAAGGCCGGGGATATAGGTTAGTGCGAGAGCCTGGGTTTATTTAATCCCTAGTACTGAAGAAAAACAAAAGTATAACATGAAAAAATGAGACTGCGAAACAGGTATGGTGGCCCACCCTATATCCCAGCACACTGGAAAGCTGAGGCCTCTGACTCCAATTTTGATCCCAATCTGGGCAACTTAGTGACTGAGACCCTGTCTCAAAATTAAGAAAATCAAAAAAGGACAAGGGGTGTCACTAAGTGTGAAGGCCCAGGGTTCAATTCCCAGTGCTACCAAAAAAAAAAAGATAACAGAGTATATGTAAATAAGTAAACTACAGAACACAAATAGCTCCCAAACCACAAATAAAACTGTGCAACATATGAAAATCTTCGTTTTATATACATATCCACAAAGCCATGAAACCTACTCAGACCCACAAGGAACTGGCATATGGAAGAACAGTTTTGTTTTTCCCTATACTGTCAAACATAAAAGAACTTAGTAACAAGACTTGATGCGGAATGTTATCAGTGGGAGAGGGTCACTTTCCCCCATAGGTCTGCTTTTCCAAAACTTAAGAGGTATTCGTTTATATTAATAAGTGACTTCCATGAACAGCTTCTTTACCTACATCTACATCCAGATGTGCCCTAATCAAGCCTGCTGCCCACAGCACTGACATGTGGGCCCCACATCCGTCTCCAATCCCTGCCTTGGCAGGAAGCCCTTCCCAGGACCACAACCAGTGCAGCCTCTGCACGTGATCCACATCACTGGTCACAGTGAGGAGGAGTATTACTGGACATCAGAGGGGCTGAGGGTGGGCCAGGTGAGACTGAGCAAACACATCAGATGACAGAATCAGAGGTTAGCAGCTCCCATGCACAGCACTTCAGTAAGGAGGGAGATGCAGAACAGGCAGTGACAACATCACTTTACCTGACTAAGAGCCATTCCTGACTCCTTTTCTTCCTGTTTCCTCCTCCTCCAAGCTCCTTCCGTAGGTAGCATGAGTTTTGGGGGCCAAACCTGAATGTTGAAAACATACTAGTTAATGCTTAGAATGGACACTTGTCCTTCCTGTACTATAGCCACACACACAGGGAGGACCAGCCATGAGGAAAGAGGGTCCTCTGGTGCTCACTGCATAGGGAGGGGCTGTAGGAGGGAGAGGGGGACCGGGGACCATACAAACAGGGACACAGACTCCTACAGGAAGACCAACAAGAGACTTCTTGAGACTTCTTCAGAGCTCATTCCCTTCCCAGGGACTGCACCAGTGCACCGACCCAGCCCTATCCAAACGTCAGCACAGCACATCCCCCATTCCTCTATGGATCACAAGCTGATCTTGGTCCTAAGAAAGGCAGAACACAGTCTGTGCACAAACAGGATCAACTCTATTTTATTAAGGCTTGGTCCCAGGCTGGCCATGGGAAAAGGACTCTCCAGTAGGGCCCAAGGGGACTTATTTGCAGAACACCTCAGCACTCCAATGGGAAGTCAGGGTTGAGCACCACCCAGGAAGGCAAGCAAAGCTCACCTCCCCCTTCTGGCTCAGCTCTCCCTTTGGAGCCTCATTGTCCCCAGGATCCAGACAGTGGACTGAGAAGGATCAGAAACTTGCAAAGCAGGGAACATGGACCAGAGGTGGAGGTGAGGATGTGGTTAGGATGTCTGGAAGGTGGAGCGATCACAGAAGTTTCCATGGAGATGCTGATAACAGAACAAAGACCTGGGAAAGAAGGTGTCTGCCACGGGCAGCTGATGGGCCAGTGTCTCTAAGCAGAGATAGAACCCAGGAAAGTCCTGAGGCAGGAGCTACAGTGTCCCTGGGAAAAGGCAAGAGGCCTGTGTGGCCACAGCAGAGTGAGCAGGGAGGAGGATACTGCAGGAGATGAAGGCGGGGAGGGACTTCCGGAAGCAGAGCATATTGGGCTGAAACTGACAAACTTTTCTCCACCTCAAAGGAATTTTGCAATTAGTTTCCTTGCCTGTCTAAAGTAACTATGTAGTTTTTCTTTATAAGTGAAAATATAATCTTTTATCTTCTATATTATAAATGGTATAGGCAGAAGGCTGGGCATGTAGTTCAGTGGTGGAGCACTTGCCAAGCATGCATGAGGCCCTATGTTCAATCCCCAGCACCACATAACAAAAAACAGCAATAATTAAATAATGTACTAATTAATTGATTTAAATAAATATAAGCAGAAATATTGAGCTAAGCCCCAGGAAGTACAAAGTTATCAACCTGAGATGCTGAGGATTACACAGGGTCTACCTACCTATTTATCTGCATCCTTTTAATAAATGGGCAAACCTTAGTAGTGTTTTTCTGAATACTGTGAGAATATCTGACAAACCCAAGCAGCTGAATCAAGGAATCCCTTATTTACACCCAGTGAGACAGCAATTTAGGTCCCAACCTGGTACTATATCCAACTGGCTTCAGATGCTGTCTCCAGGGAGAGACAGCCAGATACAAATTAACTTATAGAACACTACGTTGGTGTCTTAAGGAGAAGTTCTTGCTCAATCGACAGAAATATTAACACAATTTCATGGCCAGAAGTGAAGTACTCTGTGCTGTGTTCACTATCAAGTGCGAGTAGGAAAACCACTCTGGTTTCCTTTATCTCACACACTCCCCAAACCACAATCCACCCCAGGAAAACAGGGTAACCCACAAGTGAAATGAGTCAAATTAGCACCTTCATACTGAACAGTGAAGCTATCCTCTAATTCCCAAAACTGCACAATACACATGCCTTACAGGCAAGAGTTCTACAAGTCTCCTCTTCATCTGTATGATTCAAACAAATTTTAAATTCATTGAGTTACACAGAAATCAATATATCACAAGTGAAGGATGCATATCCAAACCACCACCACTGGTCTGGACCCAGGGCCCACTCCTCATTTTTCTCCCTCATTCTGTACCATCTCATTCTAACCTCTCTCCAGCTTCTTTTCTTTCCTTTTCTCCCCTCTACTACAATTTCTGCTCATTCTGTTTCGCTCTCTGCCGCTATTTCTCCCCGAAGTTCCTTCCCCTCCACCTTTTCTGCCTCATTCTTGTAACTCCTTTCACCTCTAGTTCCTCTTTCACCTCGCCCGTTTGATTGTCCCCAATCTCCATCTATTTCTGCCTTTTTCTTCCCTCATCAATGCTCTTCCTCTCCCTGCCTGGTGCAGCCCCCTCGTCCCTCTCTCTGGACGCCACACCCCTAGGCTTCCTTCCTCTGCTCCCCTTGCCACCTGTCACCCGCTCTGGTCCCAACACTTCGCTGCTGTCTGCCAAGGCTGCAAATAATCTCTCCTCTCCTCCTGCTCGCCGAACTGCCTCCCCTTTACAGTTCCTGTCCTTATCTCACTATTCCTCATCTCTCTGGAGACGCAGATTTTTAAATTTCTCTACACCCAGCTCCCGCGCTACCTTCTTAGTTGCTGCTTTCACTCTCACCATTTCTGCCAATCCCTCAACAATCCTCCACTTGCCATCTGTTTAAGGGTCTATTTCTCCTGACCCCTTTGCCCACTGCTCACAGGGAGGGGAGGGAATGAGAAGCCGCCCCCGGGGGAGCACATTTGGCCCTGGGGTGGAACTTGGGCCGCAAGAACCCTGAAGTCACAGCACAAGAAGGACACTTCCCCCTGCACAGAGAGGAGACTGCGAGGGGAGATCCGGGGGTCAGACCCGGCCGGGGAGGGGAGGCGCGGGGCGAGGCCGGGTCCTCAGCCCGTGAGGACGGCGCCCGGCGGCCGGGAGGGCAGCTGCGGGAGGGGGCGGCGCCGGGGGGGGGGGAGGCGCCCGCGGCCCAGGAGGGACGGGAAGGACCGGCCTCGAGCGCCTGCGCCCCGCAGGGACCACGCGGCTCTCACCGCAGGGCCCGAATTTATTTGTGTGGAGGGGGCGGTGCGGGGATCTAACGGTCCCTAGAGAACCAGATCCGGAGAATCCGGATAGAGGGAAACTCACCCGCGGTGCTGTGACCTTCTCTCCACGGGATGCACTTCCGGGTCCGCCGGAAACTGCGCGCCGCCGGAAGGAAGAGGGGGAGGGGCCCGGGAGTGATGCACGTTGGGGGCGAGGTTAGAGGCGGGGCAGGCACGGGAACTGCGAGATGGTTGGTTGGCGCGGCGGGAAGGGGGCGGGGAGATGGGAAGGCCTGGCCCGGTGAGGGGCGGAGCCTGCTTTCCCCTCCGGCTGCTGCCTAGGCGTCCCGGGGAGGCTTTGACAGCTGTGGGGTCTGTGAACCAAGGTATCCCTGGGACAGGAGGGCATCAACGTAGGATGATAATTGTATCTACAAAAGTTCCTGCTATTAAAGTGAATTTCAGCCCTTCGATAAAAACCGTGCAATTGCTTTTGAAGGAGTTGCAAACTGGAACTCGAAATGCAAAGCAGCCACTGCAGAAAGTTCAATTTTGCTGTCTTAATGACATAGTGAGATCCTGTCTCAAAATTAAAACCAAAAAATAAATAAATAAATAAAGGGCTGGGGATGTAATTAATTGAAAAGGCCCTGGATTGATTTCCCAGTGCTGAAATAAATAAAACCAAGAAAAATTTAAAAATAATAAACGTGTCACATTTGAAAATGGAATAATAAAAACTTGAAACGTATAATAACAGCCTGAGGATATAGCTCAGTGGTAGAGGGCTTACAAAGCATGCTTGAGGCCTTGATCCCCAGAACCACCAGTAAATAAATAAATAAACTTATGACATCAAAAAATTTGTCCAGTTACCTAGGCCTGTGAATGACAATGAAGGGCCCGAGTGTGCCTAGTGGCTGTATGGTGTCTGTTCCTGTCACACACAAGACAGTTTTGTTTGCTTGCTTGCGTTTTAATTTTGTCCAGGCAAACCTTGAACTTGCCATCATCCTTCCCCAGCCTCTCCAGTAGCTAAGATTACGGGCATGTGCCACCATGCTCAGTTTTAGTTTTTAATTAATTTTCTTTGGGGCTGGAGAAGGAAACCTTGATGCTAGGTAAATGCTCTTCCACTGTGCTACACCCCACTTTAAACTGTTTATCCTTTTAAGCTTTTTATCTCCGAAAACCTTCTACCTATTATGCCATTTCTCTACTGATGGGAATACATACAAGGGGTGATCATAATATACACCGAATTTAATTTAAAACTTTTTGTTACAGTAAAAGATACATCACCGCTAACCCCCTGGAAATACTCTCACTTCGAGCACACTTATTGCATCACTCTTGCTACTTTTAGAAGCAATTCGGAAAGTTTTTAATGATTATCTTTAAGAGGTATGACTTAAAAAATATAAATGCTGCTGCCAAGTACAATCCAAAGGAAAGATGGGGTCATAAAACCATTAGAGTACATCTTCACCCACCTTATTATTCACTGGATCCATAACTGTGTGACTTCTAGCTCTTCTCCAAAGTCAAAATGACCATGGAAAGGAAACATTTTGAATCAATTCAGGACATCAAGGCAGCCAGTACTACACTGCAACCAAAGATACTCGTGAAAGGGTACTTCCAAAACTGCTTCAGAAAGTGGCAAGAATGGTGAGAATAAATGCTTTCAAAATGAGGGGAAGGATTTTGAAGAGAATTAATGTCAATGCGTCTTTTACCGTAATAGTATAATAGACCGCTAAGTTAGGTAGAAATATTATAGGCCGTCAGATAAGGCTGGGCTCTTGAGAGAGCCAGTGCAAAAGATGAAAACACATTACAACTGTGGCCAGAGGCACATCTGTTGGGGGCCAGGCCTCAAGATAAAGACAAAATGACCAGGCATATATACTTCCCAAAGGGATAAAATAAGTGGTAACACCTTGCCCAGTAAAGTCTAGATAGATATCAGTCACCCCTGTGGGTGACCAAGACTTCTGGATCCATCCTTTCCTAAAAAAGTTCTTTGTTCTTTCCATATACACTAGCTATGTGATCTGTTTCCTCATTGGATCAATATTACCTAAGTGGCTATAGTTGTAATCTTATTGGTTGATTATAATTTTGTCCCATGTTGCACCCACCTCATGATTTTGCTCTATAAAACTTGCCTTGTGAAGTGGGGTCCACAGCAACCCACTCAGGTCCTCTCTCTCCTCTCAGGAGCTAAAATCTCTCCCTCTCAGTGAATATTTCCTACTCTTAACCTCCATTGTTCCTTAGAATTCATTCTTTGATTCTGGGGAACACAACTCAGCATATCTGACATGTAGCAGGTTGCAAGTTATATTATTTTCCCTCTATCATTTGGAAGTCTTATATCAATATGTTTTGAAAAATATAAACATTCAGTTTTCCTGTTGATCATGGCAAAAATATGCACATGGCATTCTAAATTCTTCAGTCAGTTAGTACAAACAGTAATTAAAATGTCAGGCCCATGTTACATTAATTTAACCTAAATGATCCTGGCATCCCCTCTTCTACCAGCTGAGTTCTGTGGAGGACAAGTTAGAGGGATTGTCTTCCTCTATGAAAGTACTGTAATAAGCTGATGAGGATAAGCTTTTCTTTATCAAAATAAAGTTCTATAGATTTCTGTAGCCTGAGAATCAAAGCTGTAGGTGAATTTATACTCAGATTGGGTGTACAGAGAGTAATCCACATGTGGGTGAACTCGGTATTACCTAAAACCCTTTTATATCCACAAACCTGCAGAACGTAATCTCTCAGGAAGGACCTAGGGAGGATTCAGTGTATCCAAAATAATGCACATAAACTCAACTCAGTTGCCCAAGGCATACTCTTTATTCCACTTCAAGAAAGTCTGGGGAACAAGCTGGGCATGGTGCTACAAATCTGTAATGCCAGCTACTCTGGAGGCTGAGGCAGGAGGATCATGAATTTGAGGCCAGCTTGGGCTGCAGAGGGAATTCAAGGCCAGCCTGAGCTATACAATCAGACATTGTCTCAAATAGAAAGAAAGAAAGAGAGAGAGAGAGAGAGAGAGAAGAGAAAGAAAGAAAGTTGGGGATATAATAGCTTAGTGATACAGTGGTCCTAGGTAAGCTTCTCAAAACTGAAAAATAAATAAAATGTTGGAAAATATAATTGAAAATAAAAACAATCTTGTCTCAGCCCAGATATTCTCTCCACCAAGGGAAGAGAGAAAGCAAGCACTTTTTAAAATAAAATGAATAAATGTTAGGTCAGAATGTAAGGAGCAATAGAAGCAATCTGCTAAGAGACTGAAAACAGAAGAAAAAAGTGCCCCCCATACTAAGGATTGAACCCCAGGCCTTTGTACCGAGCTACTCTGTCTTAAATTTTTATTATTATTATTTTTTACTTCCTAGCCCTTTTTTATGTTTGATTTTGATACAAAGTCTCGCTAAATTACCCAGGCTGGGCTTAAACTTGCAATCCTCCTGCCTCAGCCTCCCAGAGTGCTGGAGTTATATGCATGTGCCACTACTCCCAGCTAAAACCCTCATCCTTTTATATAATTCATTCCACACTCATTTCAGGATAACCCCAAATTTGCTCTTCCCTTAAATATAAAGATGCAGGTTTACATAGCACAGTTTACGCTGAACTACTTGGCAACTTTTTTTCTACCTTGGATCAGGTGCCCACGCTAGTTAGCTTCCATAATCTCACAGAAATGCACAGATACAGGTGCTGTCTCCTTGCTGCTTATATTCCGAACAGAGGGCACTTCATTCCTTCAGAAAGTTATCCCAAGGTCATTAAGCTGACAAAAAATTTCATTTAGTTTCTAAAAACACTTTTCCGTCTGGGTGTGGTGGCACACACCTGAAATCCCAGTTACTCTGGAGGTTGAAGTAGGAAGATCATAAGATCGAAGACAGCTTGAGCAGTTTAAACGAGACTGTTTCAAAAAATAAAAAGGGATGGCGTGTTCCTCATTGGTACCAGACACGCACATATATATTTCTACAAAGTAAGCAATTAACAAAATGGCAATAGTTAAGGCCTTACCTATCAATATCTTTGTAAATTGATTCAACTCCAAATCCAAAGACTGAGTGGCTGAATGATTAAAAAACAACAGGACGAGGGATGTAATTCAGTATTAGGGTGCTTGCCTGCTATGTGTAAGCTTCAATGTCCAATGCCACTAAAAACAACTGGAAAAAAAAAAAGCAACAAACGCCCAAAACAAGACCCAACATTTGAGCGGTCCAAAAGAAGCTGCTTAACTGTAGTAGTGACCAGCCGAGGTCCCGCCCATTCCCTCGAGGCTCCACCCACTCCCGCGCCTCTTCCCCGCCCACCGCCCCGTTTACTGCCTTTTCGGGCCTCTTCGCTCTCGCCCCGCCCCTGCTCCGTTGCGCCCCACCCACTGAATCGCGGGTCCCGCCCAGTACGGCTTCTTTGCACGCCCCGTCCCTCATCCATTGCGTAATGCTGGCCCCGCCCACCCCTCTCGTCGGCCGCTGGCCGACCCAGCTCGCCCTATTGTTGGTCGCGCGCGCAGTGTCCCGCAAATCCGGAAGTTGTTCCGGAGGAGTGAGGGTCGCCGCCTCTCGCGTGAGTTTCCTTGTGATTGGGTCGGGTCTGCACCTTGCAGACCCCTAGTTTTATCACTGTCACGATCTGGGTCCCTAGTGACTGCCAGCTCCCCACACCGCCCCCTCCGCACAGGGAAATTCGGGCGCTGCGGTGAGAGCCGCGTGGGCCCCGCGGGGCGCAGGCGCTGGAGGCCGGTCCTGCCCGTCCCGCCTGGGCCGCGGGCGCCTACCCCCGCGCCGCTCTCCCGGCCGCTGAGCGCCGTCCTTACGGGCTGGGGACCTGACCTCACCCCGCGCCTCCCCTCCCCGGGCCGGGTCCGCCCCCCAGTCCTTCCCTCGCCTTCTCTCCGTGCGGGGGGAAGTGGCCTGGACCTGTCCTGTGACTTCAGGGTTCTTATGTCCCGAATTCCACGCAGGTGCAAATGCGCAACTTTCTGGCCATGTCTCTTACCTTTCTATATTGCTCCATTTCCAGTCCTCTCCCCTGAACTCCAGGATCCTATGTCCACTTGTCTCCTGGACATCTGTACTGGAAAGTCTGACCAGCATCTCCACCTTTGAGTGTCCAAAAGTGACTTTCTTTTTCTTATATTAGGGATTGAACACAGGGCCTCAGAACTGTGCAACATTAAACTCTTTTTAAATTTTTGAGACAGGGTCTTGCTGAGTTGCTCAGGCGAGGGTCAAATTTGGGATCCTCTGCCCTCAGCCTCTCCAAGTGATGGGTTATCAGGTGTGTGCTACCACGCCTAGCTCAGAAAGTGGCTTTCCGAGTTTCCCTAGACACATTCCCTCTATAGTCCTGCACATCTCAGGCAAGTGTAACACCCTGGGGTTGAGGTGATTGTTTCATCATGTCCTTAAAATATATTTTGTTATTTGTAAGGGTTTTAATTTTTTTTAAAAAATTGCCATGCTGGGTGTCATGTAAGCGCTTTCCCAGTGAACCACACTCCCAGCCTTTTAAAGAAAAAATTAGACGTTCACTTTAAACAGGCAAGGGAATGTGTAGTTTCCCAAATTCTTTTGAAGTGTGGGAAAATAATATTAGAAGCCTCAGCCCTGCCTATGTGTTTCCCAGGTCTGTGTCTGTTTGTTCTCATCTCTTGCGATGTCCTCATTCAAAGCACTCTACTTCAGCCAAACGAGCCTTTTGTTTTCCCCAGTACCAAGCTTCCTGTCTCGGCTTTCATTTGGGCTGTTCCTCTGCCCAGAACTCTAGCCCCTCAGCTGTGAATGGCAAGTTCCCTTCCTTCCTTAAATCTTTGTACTACTATCACCTTCTCTGCGGAGATCTGTGATGTGACAAACCACACTCCCAGTAGCATTCCAGCCACATTCTTGCTCCCACTTCTGGTCCATAGCCTGCGCTGTGTGTTTTATTCTGGGCCTTCTACTTCTATTGTCTGGATCCTGCGCCAGGTAGGCAACAGAGCCAGAAGTCAGCAGGTGGGCTGGACCTGCCCTCCAGAGTTAGCTAGGAAAAAACAGTCTTTCTCCGATTACATTTTCAGTACAACATTGAATACTTCTGATGCCAGATATATGGGGGTTTTTTTCCCCATACACGAAGAACTCCAGTGGACACTACTTGGGTTCCTATAATTCAGATCATTTATGTACTTGGAGTTTAGAGCCAGATCCCACAGATTTAGGGCATCTACAAGACTGCTGCACATGTCAGATTATCAGTCACAGGATAGTAGGTTGTCATCTGTGCTTCTGACCTATTGCCTATAACTCCCTCCTCAAGTTTGATTAATTTGTGAGGACATTTTACAGAACTCAGGGAAACACTGGGATTTATGTTTATTATATTATTAAGGCTCTTACAGATGAACAGCCAGCTGATGAGATACATAGGGGATGGGTCTTAGTAGGGGGAGCTTCTGTTCTCCTCAGTTTGATGCAGTACCCTCCTGGCAGTTGGATGTGCTCATTACCTGTGAAGGACTTTGAACTCTATAGATAAGAGGTTTGTATGAAGGTTTGATCACAAAGGCATGATAAATTAGTGACTTGATCTCCAGCTCTCACCTCATGTGATGGGCCACAGGCAAAGCACAGGTGAACAAAAATTAATGAAATTATCCTCTGGCTATTTTTATAAGGCTTACATGAAATAGAAGTTAATTTCATGTGCAGACTTGAGTCTTGTCCCCAAGATATATCATTATGTAGATGCCAAAATTCTGAAATCTGGAAAATGTGCACAATCTGAAAACTTTTGGTCCTAAGCATTTTTGAATAGTAGATAATCAGCCCATTTATTTATTGCTTTTTAATTTCACCCTGCTCTCCCCAGCAGTGCCGAACTTTGGCTTCCCGTTAGAGAGCTGAAGCATTTTGTAAATGCATCTCATCTGCCCACTTACTAGAGCTTGTCATTCATAAAGCAAAGTTCACTATTTGGTGTCCCAGGTGATTCTAATCTGCACCCATCATTGGGCACCCAGGCTGTGTGTCCATTTCTGAGAGGTGAGATCAGTCTGTGATCCATAGGTGGGTGAGGGAGACTGCTCTGCTTCCGGTTTAGTCAGGGCTGGGTCTGTGACTTGAAGGCTCAGTTCAGCTCAGATCCCAGTGCTGCAGTCAGTGTATACATGGGTTTCTTTATAAGGGAATGAGTTCTGGAAACTGTCTCTAGATTTTGCCCTCTTGGTGCATGGGCAATGGAGGATCACCATTTTGCATAGTAGGGTCTTTTCCCACATTGTAGCACTGGAAGTGGTTATGTGGATTCTAATCACTAAGTAACTTTATTTTAACCATTCCAGATTGACTGCTGAAGACTCATATTGCCTGAGGAAGAGGTCCAGAAGTGAAGAAAGAGGAGTCATAATGGCTTTTGCTCAGGTTGAGTCGAACTTGTGACTGGTTGGTCTCTCTCCCTCCTTTCTGAAGTGCTGGGTATAGGAGCTGCTAATCTCCCCTGACTCTGGAGTCTCCTGCCTGACAGATTTGCTTTCACTCACCTGTTCCTCCCTCAGCCTCTCTCAGCTCCACCTAGATGCTATTTCAGGGTGATCCAGAGACGTGGATCATGTGAGGAGGCTCTGTTGGGCATGGTCCTGGAAACTATATACAAGGTTTGGTACTACTTACCACTCCAGGCATCTGTGGGGGTCTTGGAACAAGCCTTAGAGACCTGTTTTATGTCTTTTTTTTCTTTATGTTTAGGTAGGTGGGTTGTATATTTGTAAGAATGTAATCATTTCTTCTAGGTTATCCAGCTTGTTGGCATACAGTTGTTTATACGAGTGTCTTTTTACTTCTGGGACATCAATTATATCTCTTCTTTCCTGTCTAATTTGGATTGAGTCTTTCTTTTTCTTAGGTAATCTAGCTAAGGGATTGTCAGTTGTATTGATCTTTCCGAACCAACTCTTGGTTATTTTGATTTTTGTATTATTTTTCAGTTTTCTATTTTACTTATCTCTGTTCTAATCTGTGTTATTTCTCTCTGATAATTTTGCGTTTATCTTTTTCTACTTTCTTGAGGTAAAAAGTTAGATTGTTGACATGGTCTTTCCTTTTTAAAAATTAATTTTTTGGGGCTGGGGATTTAGCTCAATGGTTCCGCTGCCTGCCTCACAAGCACCAGGACCCGAGTTCGATCCCTGGTACCAAAAATCAAACAACAAAAAAAAGATACAGTCAAAAATTAATTAATTGGGGCCGGGGATTTAGCTCAGTGGTTCCACCGCCTCCCTTGCAAGCGGAAGGTCCCAAGTTCGATCCCTGGTACCCCCCCCCCAAAAAAATTGAACTCAGGACCTTCCACTTGCAAGGCAGGCGGCGGTACCACTGAACTAAATAAAAATTAATTTTTTAAACAAAACAGCTTTTTAGAAAAAAATGAGAAAAATTTTACATATCTATGGGATACTACACAATGTGTAGGTATTTGTATACAGGATCTTCTTTTTAAATCTGTTTACTCTTATAAACTTCCTTCTTACCACTATGTTCACTGTATCTCTTAAGTTTTGGTATACTGTATTTTAGTTTGTCTACAGAGAGTTTCTAAATTATGTTGTGATTTTTTTCTTTGATACAGTGTTTTTTGTGGGGGTTTTTGGTACTGGGGACCGAACTCTGGTCCTTTCGCCTGCCAGGCAGGCAGTGATGCAGTGTATTTTTAAGAAGGAGGGTTTTTGCTTTGTTTTTTAGTTGAACCCAGGCCTCACATGCCAGGCAAGTGCTCTGCCACTGAGCTACATCCCTATTCCTTTAAAAAAATTTTTTTCCTTTGAGATTAGGTTGTTCTTACCTTTGAGACAAATTTTTACAGATTATTAAAACACTGAAAATACTTTCTCCAAGCAGAATAGAATAAATAACAGAAAGAAAACAGGAAAATCAGTTAAATGTGGGAGTTAACTCATCCTTAACCAGGTATGATGGCATATAGCGGTCATCCCAACTAGTCAAGTGGCTGAGGCAGGAGGATCATAAGTTTGAAGCCAGCCTAGGCAACTTCTCATGATCCTGTCTCAATAAAATTGAAAGGGCTGGGGATGTAGCTAAGCACTTTTTTAGTTTGCAAGAGACCCTCAGTTCAATTCCTGGTACAAAACAAAAAAGTATATACACACACACACACACACACATTTCTTATGTCTTCTTAGTGAATTGACTGTTTTATTATTATATAGTGTCCTTTGTATTTTGGGACAGTTTGTATCTTAAAGTCTGTTCTTGCTCTCTTTTAGGTTCCCATTTGCATGGGATGTCATTTTCTAACCTTTTATCTTACTGGTTTCCTTAGCTCTAAAATGAGTCTCTTGTAGTCAGCATATAGTTGTGTCTCATTCTATCTGTTCAACAATGTATGTCTTTTTAATTAGGACATAGATTCCATTTATATTTAAAGAAGTACTAATTGGGAAGAACTTACTGTTGATATTTTGTTAAGTATGTTGTGACTATATTTTTCCTTCCTAAATTCCCTTGCTTCCTTCTTTAATTGGTTAATTAGTTAATTACATACTCCAGGGATTGAACCCAAAGGCCTTGGGCGTGCTAGGCAAATGTTCTGCCACTGATTTACACCTCCAACCTAGCTCATTTATTTTTTGTAGCAATGTGCTTTGATTACTTTCTCAGTTCCCTTTGTCTGTATTCTGTAGATTTTTTGTTTGTTTATAAATGCAGTTACCTAAAACAGATTAAGGTTATAGCAGTGTGTTTTAAATAGGTGACAAGTTAAAGCTGACTACTTATAGAAAATCCGCTCCACTGCTTCTTCCCTCTGTCAGTTACTACTGACACAAATGACCTCTTTTTGTATTGTACGTACATTAACGTAGATTTATAATTACCTTTTATGCTTTTTTAAAAAATTCTTTATCAGATGTAGAAGTGATTTCTACATTTGACATTAAATAGTGCAGGATTCTGTAGATGTTAATAATTTATGTCTGGGAGTTTTCTATTTTCTTATGCTTTTATGTTGCTGTTTATCATCCTTTTACTTCAATATAATGGACAAGACTGGCAGGTATTTATTCTCTTTGTTTTTGAGAGTCTTAATTTCCCCTTCTTTGAAAGACACTTTTGCTAGACGTAGTAGTTTTGGTTGGCAGCTTTTTTTTTTGGTACCGGGGATCGAACTTGGGTCCTTAGTTGGCAGCTTTTTTGGTGGTGTTCAGTGAGTCCTTTCTGTTCCCTTCCTATTTCTTCATTGTTTTTCTGGGGTTTTTTTTCTTCTTTGATAAGTTTTTAAGTTTGGCTAGCTGGAAGATGCAGTTTGTTGCTGCTGCCTGCATTGAATCTGTCATCTCATATTGTCTATCACTAGCCTGGGAAAAGACCAAATTCAGAGATTGAAATAAAATTTCTTTTGAACACACACTGTTTCTATAAAAGTTGAAAAATTGTAAGTTGAGCCATCTTTTAACCATACAAGGGGTGACTGGAAAATATGGTGAATATTTTTAAGCTAAAAAATTTATTATAGTAAAAGATACATTGCCATCAGTCACCCTCAAACCGTTTCCCCTCACCTTGAGTATATTTACACCATCATTTTGGCCCCTTTCTGAAGCAATGTTAGAAGTTTTGTGAGTGTCTTTTTGAGTATGACAAAAAATACAGTGACTACTAAGTGCCATCCAACAGAAAAGCAGGCTTGTAAAAACATTGCTCTGTGTCCTCATTCACTATACTCACCAAATCTGGGACTGTGGTACTTCCAGTTTTAGCCCAAAATGAAAATGACTATGAAAGGTAACTGTTTTGAATTGATTCAGGGCATCAAGACAGGCATGGCAGCACAACTAAAGACACTAAGTGAAAAAGACTTCTAAAACTGCTTTAGAAAATGGCAAGAACCATGGGGCAAGTGTATTTGGAGTTAGGGAAAACAGTTTGAAGAAGATTAATGGTAATATGTCTTTCACTGTAATAAATTTCAAACATTTAAACACACACCGTATTTTTGGATCACACTGCAGATCTGTGTGTATGAATACATGGATACACAAATCCATGACTTTTATAAAGGACGTACCATCATATACCTAAACTTTTCTGTTCACAATACTGGGGGTTGAACCTAAGGGTGCTCTACCACTGAGCTACATCCTCAGGTCCCCTGCCTTTTTTGTTTTTTTGTTTTGAGACAGGGTCTTGTTAAGTTTCCCCAGCTGTCCTTGATGCTACAGCCTCTGGGTAGGTAGGATTGTAGGCACACAGCACTCTACCTAGCAAAGCTGTTTTTTAACTATTGAAATAACATCTAACATATTTTCCATCACCTTAATATTTTCCTTGCACTGTCACATGGGTAAGCTAAATAATAGTAAAAATACTGACATACTACATGTCTGTGTGCAGTTCCATATCATTAGGTTTGAACTTGTTTCAAGTTTCACAGGAAGCTATCAGAGTACTTTTGTTACTGTATGTGTTACTTGCTGATTGTTTAGATTCAATTTTAAAGCCCAACTACCTAGGTTCAGGTCTTTACGCTGCTGTTTCTTAGCTGTTTGACCTGAGGTGAGTTTGTGTCTGTGACACAGTTATGTCCTAGTAAGATGGGAACATTTCTTTCCTTCTTGGGCTGTTATATTGTTATATGAATTAGTATATGTAAAGCAGCTGGAATAATTCTTACCATATAAGAAGTGTTTAGAAGCTTTTGGTGTTACATCATATTTTTTAGATTCTGACCTTTTTCTTTAAAACCACTGTAGACTGTCATCTCTGAATAAAGCACTTATGCTGTGGTTCATTGAGATACTGAGTATTGGTGTGTAGATCACAATATCTAATACTGTGACGATAACCAAGTGTTGATTTTTCCTGTATAAGTTCCTTGTATTTTCCACAAAAAATGAGAAATCACTGACTAAGAGGATATTACAGGGGTGCTGGGGATTTAGCTCGGGTTCCACTGCTTGCCTCACAAGTGCAAGGTCCCGAGTTCGATCGCTGGTACCAATAAAAAAAGAGGATATTACAGCCTCTTGTGGGAAAGTATAAAATTAGAGACATAATTTGCTTAATGAATCCAGTTAAATTAATCTTTACACCACTCTCTTGTAGTCATTTCAATTGAAGATAATTCTCCCTATCTGCCCTTGTTGAAGTATGATATTTTTGTTTCAGGTTCTGCTGACCTTCAGAGATGTGGCTGTAGAATTCTCCCGGGAGGAATGGGAATCCCTGGACCTTACTCAGAGAGCTCTGTACAAGGAGGTGATATTGGAGAACTACAGGAACCTGGTCTCTTTGGGTGAGGATGACTTCCTTCCAGAAATCAGGATCTGCGCATGACTCTTTTCATTTCCTTTGTGTGTCTCTAGGGAGGCTCTGAACTGCTTGACTGAGAATGTAGGTCTTTTGCCTCTGAAATGAAAAACTTCACAGTGTTGCATCTTGACTTTATCCATCCCCTTTCTTCAGATGTTCTGCACCTTAATGATATGTCATTGGTGGATCCAGAGCAGAAGTATGCATACGGCCGACTTTTGTTTTTCAAGTTTTAGGTTTTTTTGAGATAGATCTCACTATGTAGCTCAGACTGACCTTAAACTCACTATGTAACCCAGGGTGTCCTTGAATTTATGATCCTCCTGCCTCAGCCTCTCAAATGTTCAGATTATAGGCATGCACCACAAGTCCCAGCTTATAGCTGACTTTTAAAATGTCTGGTTCTTTTATTACTTCACTTCTCTGCTTGTGATTCAATACATCTTGGAAGAGAAGTAGGTGCACATTACAGTATACCCTAAGCATTCAGAAGTAGACAGTGGATGAATTTGTGAAATATATCTTGAGTCATTTGTAATGTCTGCTGTTCTCACCTAAAAGCAAAAGGCAGTGATTATGTTCTGGAGAAGCCACAGGACATTGTATTCTTTTCTTTTTATGAGCAGGAATCTGTCTTCCTGACCTGAGTGTTATCTCTATGTCGGAGCAAGGGAAAGAGTCCTGGACCGTGGAGAATGAATTGAAAATAGCAAAAACACCAAATGGGTGGGAATGTGTCAAGAGTATGAGCAGAGGTAAGAGATTGGATGGACAGACAGGAAGCTGTACCATTAAATAGTTTTTCAGAAACTCCAAATTGAAGATTCTTTGTGAAAACAAAGCTGACTTTGGAGCTCTTAAAGAGAGAAAATTTTCTTTTCCCCATTATTACAAAATTTATCCTGTGGCCATCATCCAGTGTTGCTGTAGCTCAGAGATCAAGGCAAGAGTCTCTGTCATGATGAACGACACTGATACCAGTTTCTGTGAACTCTAGTTTCTTTACTCTGTGCTGCACAGGGAGGGGTTTCTTTCCTTTCAGACACTCCTGTTCTTAATTCTATCCAGTGCTTGGTTCTTTGTATGCATCAGAGCTGAGACCTCCATAGTCCTGATGCCTGAACCTAACAGATAGCCCAGGTGAGCAGAAAGCCATGGCAAGTTACTACAGGTTGTGCAGATACACTCTATAATGTTTGCACAGTGATGAAATGGCCTAACAGTGCATTTATCACGGTAATGTATCATCATCATTAAGTGATAATTTACTGTATTTTGTTTCAAAGTTTCTCACCTAGAGAGCAATTTTGCCTATGATAAATTGTACTTTTGGGCTCACCCGTATCTGAATTGGATGAGTCTTTGGACTTCAGTTTTTAGAGTTTTTGCTGGAAAAAACAAAGACTTTTGAGATCATTGGGATAAAACAAATATATTTGGCATGTGAGAATGTTATGAATTGTGGGAGATCAAGGGCAGAATATATATTAATTCTTTATAGACTATATACTGGGCCAGGGATTTAGCTCAGTGCTTCTCCCACCTGCCCCGCAAGCGCAAGGTCCTGAGTTCAATCCCTAGTACCAAAAAAATATATATATATATATATACATATATACTTAATATGTGTGTGTGTGTGTGTGTGTATATATATATATATATATATATATATATATATATATAAAATATACTAAGGTCTGGGGATATAGTTCAGTAGTAGAGTGCTTGCCCAGCATGCATAAGGACCTGGGTTCAATACTCAACACCTCAAGAAAAAAATATGCTAATTAATAGGAAGCCTATGTTCTTTGTACCTTGTAGATATCTATCCTGCACACATGATCCAGCAGTTACCACCTACAGAGAAGAACAGCATAGGAGAAATATCCCAAAGAGTGATGTTGGAAAGACATGAAATTCATTGCATCCAAGACTTTTACTTCAGCGAAATCTGGGAAAGAATGTATGATGTTGAGTGTCAGGGGAGAAATGGTGAAAGAAATTACCAAGGAGCACCTGTAATGCAAAGAAATGAATTCACTGGCAGAACAGATCAATATTATAAAAGTTCTGCAGAAAACAAGTCTGTTGAAAATCAGCTTGACTTAAGCTGCCCATCACATCTAGCTGAGATGCAGAAACTTTATACCAAAAGTAAAATTTATGAATGTAGTCAATTTGAGAAATCTAGCAATACTGGTTCTTCATCTTCACCACTTCCAACAGTTCCTGCTAGAATCAACACTAACATTGCAGAGATACATGAGAATGATCCTCTGCAGCCTTTATTACTCATACAAGACCAGAAAGCACACAGAGAAAAACCTTACAAATGTAATGAATGTGGCAAGGCCTTTAATCAGGGCTCCCATCTCACCAGACATCTGATGATCCATTCTGGAGAGAAGCCCTATAAATGTGATGTGTGTGGCAAAGTCTTTAGTCAAAAGTCAAACTTAGCAAGTCATCATAGAATCCATACTGGAGAGAAACCTTACAAATGTAATCAGTGTCCCAAAGTCTTCAGTCAATATTCACACCTTGAAAATCATCAGAGAGTTCATACTGGAGAGAAGCCTTATAAATGTAATGAATGTGGCAAAGCTTTTAGGGTGCGTGCAAGCCTCATGAACCATCAGGTGATCCATACTGGAGAGAAACCTTACAAATGTAGTGAATGTGGCAAAGCATTTTTCCAAAAGTCACAACTTGTGAAACATCATAGAACTCATACTGGAGAGAAACCACACAAATGTAATGAATGTGGTAAAGCGTTTATCCAAAATTCAAGTTTAGTGGACCATCAAAGAACTCATTTTGGAGAAAAACCCTATAAATGTTATGAGTGTGGTAAAGCCTTTTTTATACGTTCAAGCCTAACTAACCATCTGATAATTCATGCTGGAGAGAAACCTTACAAATGTAGTGACTGTGGAAAGGCTTTTATCAATCGTTCAAACCTTAAGCGTCATGAGAGTATTCATTCTGGAGAAAAGCCATACAGATGTAATGAATGTGGCAAAGCCTTTAGGCAGTGGTCTGACATCAAGGTCCACCTACGAATTCATGCTGGAGAGAAACCTTACAAATGCGGTGAATGTGGCAAAGCCTTTACTCAAGTTTCCCATCTCAGTAAACACCAGATAGTCCATACTGGAGAAAAACCATATAAATGTGATCTATGTGATAAAGTCTTTAGTCAAAATTGCCATCTTTCAAGCCATCGAAGAATTCATACTGGAGAGAAACCTTACAAATGTAATGAATGTGGCAAAGCCTTTAGACATTGGTCTGAAATCAGGATTCACCTAAGAATTCATGCTGGAGAGAAACCTTACAAATGTGTTGAGTGTGGCAAAGCCTTTACTCAGGGTTCCCATCTCAGTAAACACCAGTTAATCCATACTGGAGAGAAACCATATAAATGTGATCTATGTGATAAAGTCTTCAGTCAGAATTCCCATCTTTCAAGTCATCGGAGTATTCATACTGGCGAGAAACCTTACAAATGTAATGAATGTGGCAAAGCCTTTAGGCAGTGGTCTGACATTAGGATTCACCTAAGAATTCATGCTGGAGAGAAACCTTACAAATGCAATGAGTGTGGCAAGGCCTTTACTCAGGGTTCCCAAGTCAGTAAACACCAGATAATCCATACTGGAGAGAAACCATATAAATGTGATCTATGTGACAAAGTCTTTAGTCAAAATTCCCATCTCTCAAGTCATCGGAGAATTCATACTGGGGAGAAACCTTACAAATGTAATGAGTGTGATAAAGCCTTCCGTGTGCGTTCTAGCCTAACTTACCATCAGTTAATTCATACAAATGTAAGGAGTGTGACAAGGCCTTTATCAAACTCTTCCACCTTAGACATCGTGAAAGAGTCCACACTGGAGTGAAGCCTTACAAATGTATACAGTGTGGCAAGGCCTGTAGACAGTGGTCTGACATCAGTCCTCAAAGAATTCATGCTGGAGAGAAAGAAACCTTACAGATGTGATGAGTGTGAGAAGCCTTTGATGAGGGCTCCCATCACAGTACATATCAGATAATACATACTGAAGAGAAACCATCAGTCCAATGTATGTGGCAAGGTCTTCAGTCAAAATTCACAACTCGCAAATCATCTTAGAATTCACACTAGAGAGAAGCCTTGCAAATGTAATCTATGTGCCAAAGCCTTTAATGTGCTTTGATGCCTGACTAAGCATCAAGTAATTCAAACTGGAGAGAGTTTACAAATGTAAAGAATGTGGTAAGGCTTTCAACAAGTGTTTACACCTTCAGCTTCATAAGAAAATTCATACTAGAGAGAAGCCATATGAATATTGAATTTAGCAAGATGTGTAGGTGGTGGTCTGACTGCAGGTTTCACTAAAGAATTCATTCTGAAGGGAAATGTTACAGATGCAATGAGTCTGGTAAACCTTTACTCGGGCCTCACAACTAATGAGATAGTCCGTACTGGAGAGAACCTTACACATGCACTGAACATAGAAGAGCTCCTAAGTGTGGCTCTATTAAACTCAAGGTTCACCAGGTACAAATGGCAGTGAATATAGCAGTTTGAAAGTTGTGTCAGTATTCACTAAGTATAAGAATATTTATCTTGGAGAGAAATCAGGTGTAATATGTGTGGCAAAGGTTTTACCGCAACCGCTAAATTTGTGGAATGCCAAAGAATTTGTACTGGAGATGAACCTTGTAAATGCAGTGACCGACAAAACCTCTACTGTGAGTAGTGTGCTACATGACACTAGGGAGTCATGTACATGGGTCCTGGCCAGAAAATAAAGTTCTCCAGTGAGTTCTCATTACTGTGTCGTGCTTCAAGAGATCATCACTAATCCAATCCGGGAACAAGGTCCAACAATAAGCACACATATAATTTAATTTTAATAGCCACAGTGCAGAAGTTTATTAGCAAATAAAGAATACTGAAACAGTTTGTGTGGAGACAAATCAAATATATAATGTATAACATTTGACTGGAGATAATTTATTTTACAAGCCTATGAGATATAAGACATTAAGAATAATTCCATTAAAATGTAATAGCATGAGGGATGGTTCTTTTAAGTCAATATGGAAGTCACACAGTCATGATGTAAGGTGTAAATGTAAATATAAATTTTATATAATACCCTGGATCAGATCAAATAATCCAGGAGAGAGAAAGGAGTGAGAAACACAGAGGCACAGATTCCCCAGCACTGATATTTTCCCATGACATCTTGCATTGGGGGACAGTGATCTGGGCCTGGGCTGCCTGTTTTGCATTCTGTGTAGGCACAAGCAGCGGGTCCACCACATCTGAACACAGAACATCTCATCAGGACCTTGCCTGAGAGCAGAGCTTCTCAGAGCATCCTCACCCTGACGAGGGCCTTCACACCCTTCCTCAGCTCGTCTTCCATGTTTCATGTTTCTTTGGCTCTTGTTTGTGAAGCTGCTTGATGTTGGCCAGCATTTCTGCCTAGGTCACTGCTTGTGTCCCCTGCTTGTCAGTTGATTCTCATGAGTTAGGAATGCAGTGCATCCAGGCTCATCTGGAAGAAGAGAGCAGATTTCTCAGCTGCTCAGATGTGTGTGATGTTTGTGACTTTCACATGTGCAGTCGTGACTGCTCTCATGTCACTTCCTCTCCCTCAAATCTATGAGCCAATGTTATGGAAGACAGAAATGTAAATAGGCAGTGCTACATGTCCATAGTTACTTGTAATTGGTAATAATGCAAAATGAAGTCAGGCACATTGCACCAAGCCCTTCTGAAATTTTATATAAATGAAATAGTGTATCATAAATTTATATACCTGCATTTTCAAAATATATTATTATTTTACCCATATTTTCACAAATCTACCAACCTTTTTGTATATCTTGCAAAGTATGATTTTTAAAAATGTACTTATGCATTTCTTTCCTTTTTTCTTTACAAATATGTCACATCTGCCTCATTTCTGAGAACAGATATGAACACTTGTAATCAGTTATACCTCATAGTATCCTTAATGATTTTTATGCTTACCTTATTAAGTCCAGTTATAAAATGAAAGATACATGTGTAGGAAACAAACTGATTTCATTCACTCCTTTATTCTGAACATTGTCAATCACAACTCCCTCAGGACAGGAAACCCATTATATAGTCTCTTCATTTTCTGTCCTCAAATCTTCAGTAGTCCTCTTCCTCTGTACTTAAAAGGGTTTCTAATTCAGCAAGATACATATAAATAAATAAGTAGGCTCAATTTCAAAAGAGATGAAGTTAGTGGATATAATTGTCACTATTATAAAATTTGCTACAAAATCATGTCTTCTAAAAAATTTGGACAGTGTCATTTAGAGATTTATATTTTTATTCCAGTCAGTTAGATACACAATATAGTTCCAGTCTGTGAAAATATTTCAAAACATTAATCTCCATATTTATAATTACGATCTAAAACTCTCAATATTCCTTCAGTGTTTATTATTTGGAAATTTCTTTTTCCTTATTGAATGACAGTTTTTGTAGATCAAGTGTTTTTGATTGGGAGTTTTGTCATTCAGTTCGTTAAAAATAACATCTCAGGCCTGCAAGGTATTATTTCTTCTAGCTAAACATATATTGACAATTCTTTTGTACTCTTTGTATTCTTTTATCACTTGTAGAATTATTCTATGTCCATTTGTCAGCTTTTATCAAGCTCATCATTGTAAGAAATGTAAATGTAACACCTACTCCCCATGAGGAATGTAATCATTATGTCCTGTAAAGATGTACAAATAAAAATTAAAAATGTAAAATAAAGACTGAGTAATAGTCCATTAATAAACAACAGAGATAAAAAGTTGGGAAAGAACCAAATAGATATTTCTCAAAACAAATGGCCGACCAATGTATGAAAAAATGTTCACAATCATAAATCATTAGGAAATGAAAATTAAACCTCAATGAGATCATGTCATACCTGTTAAATGGCTGTTGAGAACAAGCACAAAAGACATCAGGTGTTGAATGGGATGTGACATGACATGAATCCTCAGGCGTTATTAATGGGAATGTATATTACTGTTGTCATTGTGAAAAATAGGGAAATTCCTGAAGAAATTAAAAATAGAACCATCATACAGACTATGAAACTGGCTAATCTGTGTATATATGTAGAGGAAACTAAAGTCAGTATGTTGAAGTGATACTACACTCTCATGATTCTTGTAGCATTGTTTGCAATGGCTAGATGTATAACCTAATTAAGTGGCCATCAATGGATGAATGGATAAAGAAAATGTGATATGAAGGTACATTGCAAAACTACTTCATCTTCAAAAGTGAAGAAGACCCATCACTGTGAATGAGGTAGATTTTAAAAGAACCCAAGCACAGATGAACAAATACTACATGATCTCTTGTGTATGTGGGATATAAATCAGTTGCACTCAGAAAAAAATAAGAAAAGCAGAATGTTGGTCACTAGTGACTAGGGCCTGAGGTGAGCTGGGTAGATATTCATCATCTCTCTACAGGTAGTAAGTTCAAGGGATATACTTTGAAGCACGGTAATTATTGTTACTAACAATGTTATATTCTTGAGAATGGCTAAGATCTTACTCAGCAGTTTTCACCAAAAAAAAAAAGTAAGGTAGCATCTGCCTCTTGTGTATATGAGTCTATATGGGAGACTCCTATGTGTGTATATGTATATGTATATTACACCACTATGTTTATGAAAACACACATGTATGTATATTTATGTATCAATTAAAATTGGGGAAAATGCAAAGACTCCACTGAGTTTCTTTAGCTTTCAGAAACCGAAGTTTTCTCCTTGCACCATATGGGACTATGGGACTGTCCTCCTGTACCTGTTGGGGAAGGACTCTTCAAAGTACTCAGACTCTCTCTGCTTGGAGATGCCTACAGAAACTTCTAATTGTTCCTGGGAATTGGAATGTGGAAAGAATTTATTTGTTTCTTAGTCATCTCCACTGCCTAAACATGCATGTCATGAAAATTACAGGTGAAGTGATAATTGCATTTCAGGGGGAGATGAGATCATGCAGCCACACACCCATATTTTGAGGTCTGGCCACCTCCCTCCCACACATCAGGAGGCTTCATGACTCTCACCCCAGCTGCTACTCAAGAAGCAGGTAGGTGCTGGGTGAGTCTTATATGTTCTAGTCTGTGAAACAGAGGCTGTGAGAGAATGAGGTGATGTAGGGTCTGTGTTTGGCTGAGTCACCATGTCTGGAAAAGTGACTCCTGTGTATGACAGAGACACATGGGGCAGAAGGGTGATTCCTGAGCCAGAGGCTGTGCTGGGGACAGACAGGATGCCTGAGACCCCACCAGCCTCTGACTTCTCATGTGCTTTCATGCAAGCAGCACGAGAGGTGGTTGGGAAGACTGCTCCTAGCAGTAATGTCATCTCATGGGTAAGATCCATAGGACTACACTCAGGGCATCAGTCTTTTGTTCAGAGTGCCATGTAGAAACCACAGAGGAGCTTATATCACTTGCAGTATCACTGCTGGAAAAGCTCCTGTTTATGATCATGAGTGTGCTGGAGAAAACTGAACTGCATTTTCCTGTATAAGCAAGGGGTTTACACGACAATTTCTGTTTTATAATGACTTTTCTCTCACTGGTTTGAGGTGATGAATGGAGACAATTTCTAGATCTCTCTGAAGACATTTGTGATCTATTGATCATGTTGGACAATTGCTCTTTTGTCATTCAGGAAAATGGATTCAGAAAAACTTAATAGTTGAGTGATTTGAACTGCTGAGAAATTAAGGAGGCCAAGTAGTTTCTGATTCCAACATATCTTATTTTATTTGCCAGGTTTAAAAACTTTAATGTAATTTTGTGCCTCCATGTCATCATGGGCCATTTCCATGCATGTTGTAGGAAGACTTGAAATTCCATTTTTCATACATAATGGACTTTAGCACCTTTCTCAAATGGCATTTTACTTTTTTTCTAATATAGAAAATAATGTGTTATCTAACAAAGATTAATTCTCTTTCTATGACTTAAATTTCATATATACAGTATTACCCTGAGTAAAAAGAAATGTTATATGTACTTTCTGTGTTTAATAATATTGGGGAAAGTTCTGTTCCTTTCATAACATTGATCCATATGTATTAAATCCAATTTGGTTTTAAGAGATTACTTAGTCCATCATTAATTTGAAAGGCAAGAATGATTCTGTTGTATAAATTAAACATTCACATGAATGAAACATTCACACAGACTGGGGATTATCAGAGTCAAACATTTCTATAAGAATATTTTAAATATAACAAATTATATACATGGATTCTAAAATCACCATTGCTCTGACTGTTGCACTACACCACAGAAATAAGCACAACGTCACTAAAGCCTGGCCCACATGTCAAAATATCTTGTTGAAGTTTAGATGAGGCATGAAACTTTCCCTTTATTACACATGCTTTTTCTTTAAGGGAAACACTAGTAGGTCCTAACCCATTGTGTTGTGCGCTCTAAGTGTGTTAGAATTTGTAATCCATAAATCATAGTGATGCATACATTTAAAATCCTCCGTAATGAAATGGAATATTTAAAATTTTTAAACATTAAAAACAAAATATATAGTTGAAATAAAATTTTAAGGAATGTAAATGTGCACAATTTCAAATTCATTTTATATGAAATCTTTTCCCCACCATTTATCTTTCTATACAGAATCCTATATTTTAGAACATCTACATGAATCCTGCAGAATTAAAGAACTTTTATGGATCTGAAATTTGTAATCCTTTTCCAGACTGCCATTGGAGGCCTGGGAAATTTCTCACTTTTATGTCATTATATCTTCCTATACTTCAGTGGATGCAGGTCCAGGTCCACAGATGTGATCCTCAGGCACCTGACTGTGCCCAACACCCTGTGTATTCTCTCCAGAGGAATCCCAGAGACTATGGCAGCATTTGGGATGGAAGACTTCCTCAGTGATGTTGGATGCAAATTAGTTTTCTATATTCAAGTGGTGGGCAGGCATGTGTCTTTCAGCACCACTTTTCTCCTGAGTGCCTTCCAGGCCATCACCATCAGCCCCAGGAGCTCCAGGTGGGCAGAGCTGAAAGCAAAAGCTCAAAAGTACATTGGGCCCTGTGCCATCATTTGCTGGGCCCCTGCACCTGCTGCTAAACATTAGAGTTCCTCTGCTTGTGAGTGACAAAAGGAACAACAAAAACATCATAGACATTATCGATTTTCAATACTGTTCAGCTATGATTCCTGACAAAGATCAAAATTCTGTTTTTGCAGTGTTGACATTGTCACATGACATTTTATGTTTGAAACTTATGATCTGGAGCAGTGGCTCCATGGTTTTCATTCTTCACAGGCACAAACATCGGACACAGCATATCCACAGACATAACATCTCATCCAGATCTTCCCCTGAGACCAGAGCCACTCGAAGCATCCTCATCCTGGTCTGTGCCTTTGTGTCCTTCTATATTCTGTCTTCCATCATGTATGTCTGGTTTATTTTTTTTCGCAAAGCTGTTTGGTGGCTGGTTAAAACCCAAGCCTTAACCAATGGTTCTTTCCCTACAACAAGGCCCTTTATTCTCATAACTCGAGAACACTGGGTATGTAAATTCATGTGGAAAAAGGGAACGCACATCTCACCTCATCAGTCATGTGAGTAAGTCTACTTTTCATGTCTTCAGTATGACTTGCATTCATCTGTCTCAAAGTCCAGGGCAAAATTTGAGCCAGTGTTCTTGTAGACATAGGTGCAAAGATGATAGCTACAGAAATTTTTATAATCAACAGTAATTGACAGAAATTCTTAAGGAAATAATTTTTAATATTCATATGTAATATAATTTAATTTTACAGTTCAAAATTTTTGACTCCCTTAACCTATGGCTGGCTGGCTGGCTGGCTGGCTGGCTGGCTGGCTTGCTTGCTTGCTTGCTTGCTTGCTTTCTTTCTTTCTTTCTCTTTCTTTCTCCTTTTTTTCTCCATGCTTCATTTCTATGTGAATATTTTTCTTTCCAGTCTCAATTAAATTTATTAATTTACTTTTGTCTATCTAACATATATATATATATATATATCATTACTATATATTTAATTGAGTTTTAACTCTTAATATTCTTTTATTACTCCCTTTTCTTTACATTTTTGGATTTTTTACAGTTTTTACAATTTTGGATTTCAATCATTTAATCTTGTATTTCAGATCAAGGTTTTCATTTTATTTTAATACTATTTTTCATTTAAAAAATTGTTTTAAAAATTCACTATTTTTTATAAGTTATACACAATTATTATTTTTAAGAGTTCTTGCTTTATTGTCAATGTTTTGTTCATGGTGTTGAGATGTAGTTCAATGTTAGAACCCTTGCATGGTACATGCAAGGTCTTGAGTTCATGATCAGCACTGCAAGACAAAAAGTCACTAGACAAAACTAAGAGCTCAGGAAAACAGTTGTTAACTTTCAAGCTACTCCATAGTGGCAAGAGTGACATTCAAAAATCTGAACATTTTAATGCTGATTGTGGTAGACTGCCCCATTGATTATGCCTAAAGCAGGCTTTAAGCAGTGTAGGTGGCAAAGAGTTAATTGGCTTATTTTTAAAAGTGAGTCTGGGGACTGGGGATTTAGCTCAGTGGTTTCACCATCTGCTGCGCAAACACAAGGACCTGAGTTCAATCCCTGGTACCAAAAAAAAAAAAAGTCTGAACAAAGCATATGAGACAACACACAGCCAAGGTCAGAGTGACTCTTACCCAAATTCCATTCCCAGCCTAACACAAAAATGGTTTGTCTTCATTTATAAGCCTTGCCTGCAACAGCAACATATCCCTTGTAACTACCCATAGCCCTACACATAGTCCCCTCCTCTTAATTTAACAAAACTGTGTCACCAATAAATATTTACTGTGCTGGTTGTTCAGAGCCTTTGACTGTTCAAGCCTTATTTGGTCAGGAAGTGGTCACCCCAGTTCCTCATCTCTTTAATTCTGTCTCTCAGTCTTTTTTCTCCCCATGTGATGTAGCACCAAGCAGAAGATCATGATTTCCTGCAGAGGCCTCTGGTAGTGCATAACAACATGTACTTGGAAATAGTTACACACATGATAGTATCATGAAAATCAATGCCATTCAAATGGGAAATCTTGTCAATTTGAGGGGAGGAGCTCAATTTAGTCCCATGTACAGAAGGGAAAATCAATAAAACTTTATTTAGGTAACAAATTTTTCAAGTAGAGTGTGTGTATTTTCTTTGATTTCACATTTCCATTCAATGAAGCTTCACACATTTGTGACGTGTTACCAAAGATTGTTGCCATATTCAGACAGGTCAGTGCAAGTCCTCTACTCCATCCAAGTCTGCACCCTCCTTCCACCCTTGATATGAAGAACTCATCCAAGTGTGTAATCATCACACAGTTGATATTAAAGAGACTTTCAAACACCACAATCAATGCCATAAAATTACACATCACCTCCAATACATCTTTCTTGTCCCCAGTGTTCACTTTTTTGGTTTCCTTTTCTTTTGTGTTAATCGCACATAAGATCTACCATCATGGCAAATTTTTGTTTGAACGATGTGATGTTTGTAACCATATACAGTGTAATAGTCTACAGAAATTGTGTTGGGTATCTTTCTGGTCCTAAGTCAGGACCTCCTTTTTCTCTGCCTCTCCACCTCTGGGACACCAGTATTTTTTCCTATTCTGTAGGTTTGATTGTTGAATATTTTACATC